GATTATAGCACCAATCTAATTCTGAATTACTGAATAAAATTGGCGCGATGTTATTTTGGAGGGAAATATTATTTTTTTTATAAGGACTACATTCTTTCGATATAGCCTACATTCTTGAATACGATGTCTAGGAAAAGTTCAATTTAATCTTGACCAGTACAAGGCAAGGCTATTGATTACAGAATGTACCGCGGGACTGGATTGAGTGCTAATTATTATTCAGCCCGGGAAGAACTTGTTACACTTGATTTCTATTTATATAACACTAGAATATTTTTTATATACAGCTTTAAATTTCCGCGTCTTTGTTATTAATATTATAAATTTTAATTATTCATTACATATAAAACCTCATTTGTCATTTCAATGTATGTTCTGTTGTTTTTTTTTATCTGTGATTTTTTTTCTGTAAACAATGTCATGCTTTTAGTTAATAATACATAAATCCGACGTCTAAATGACTCGACATTCGCGTGTCTGACTGCCGTTAATGGCTGCTGTTAAATTACCTTAGAAATGTCTTATTTATAGATATTTAATATCAAGGAATTTGTTAAATGTTTCATATAATATTTTCATTACAATGTACAATTTCTATAGTGACGAAAGATAAGTATCTCGGGAGATTTATTTATTTTTATTTCTATATATACCTGCAATTTTATTTAAGTGTTTAATTTAATATTAATGTAAAGAAAAAGGAATGTACTTTAGGCAATGATTATAATATATAAATATGTATATTCAATCACATTTTCTTCATATATAGTGAATATTCATTTTACAGCAATTCATAACATAATGAACAAGAGATAGAACTTAAAGTATGAATTATAGCGTTTCTTAAAATGAAGAGATAAAAAAAAGCTTTAGTCTATGGTTATTTATGATTCGTGGGAATACGAGAGACGTTTCCGTGATTCATGTTAATTTATCATCCAGCATCCCTAACTATCGGGCATAAAGCTGAATGCTCAGAACCTTATGCTTTAGGCTGACTCTGAATTAAAAAAAAACAATGACAGCAAAGATAATTTGAATTTGGAATACAGAGAGATAAGAATAATTGTATACTAATAGTTGTTTTAAAATCCTTTCATAATAAATCCTCCGAATATAATGGTAATGTATTATAAACTAATTATGTTTTGCTGGTTTCCACGCGTGTCGCTGTAGCGTGATGTCTCAATGAAATAACCGCGAATAGTTTTTATTGGTTAATTAGATTTATCACGAAATACGTAAAAATGCGAGCCAGAATCTTTGTTCAACATTTGACATATGAGAAATCGGATGAGTGACAGTTTAATTTTTTATAAATTATTTACGTAATGGATTCTTGGGTAAAGAGTCATGTGAATGTTTTCAATAAGAATCTGTGATTATTTTTAAATTCAAGTTTATCAATATGAGTTTCTGGAAGCAATGACTAGTTACGCTAGGATTTATTATGGACTAGTTCTGAACGTGATTCCGTTTGCATGGAGGAGGTACTTTGCATTTTTTTTATAAATATACCGTTTATACAAACATACATAAGGATTTAGTAAAGTGCTTATATGAATCTTACAAACAGACAACCCAATTTAATTTATAATACTTATAATTAAAATGCAGTAAACACGACATTATTTTTTCACAATTCTCATGATTTATTTAAGCTTTTAACTCAATACTTATACTTTTGAAAAAAAAATCACCTTAACAATCCTACTAATCAACAGATAAAAATATTTATGTATTTTTTAAATCTATTTATACATGGTATAATTAAACGATAATTTTCACTCACAATATTAATATTTCCAACCAGATTTCACAAAGATCATCATATTTTAATTCCATTTCATCATAATTTTATAATCTTAATTCTCTCTCGTACAAACCGTCTTTCTTTCTTCAGTCCTGTCATTTCTTTTAGTCCAATCATAATTAAGCCGAGTCTATTTTAAAGCCGCCAGCGGCGCGTGACTCGAATGTAATGTTAATTAATTGCTAATTTACTCCGTGTTCTAACTTGTGTGTCACATAATACATATCATTAAATTCTAGTGTTGATATTGAATAATTAGAAGCTTTAGAAAAACTATATTTTTAACTAGCTAGAGTTTTCGTAATTCAGATGTTTTGGTTCCTTTGAAGCAATTATTAGGAAAGGCAGATGATATGAAAGTTTCTATGCGAAAAAATTAGTCTCTTTTTAATGAATACACGTAAAAATCTGAGATATTTTTTATATTTCATATAATTGATTAAATTTTCATTTCCTGAATTTCTGAACTGATTTGTTTTTGAGTATAGTAACCCAACTATATAAATATATATTTATGTACCACTAACACAATATATAATAATTTCAATTCATTATATAATTATAGTTCTTTTATTGAGATTCTTATAGAACTAGTTCTTACAGTATTTTATTATAAAGCCAGTTATTATATTAATACTTAGTTCTTTTCACTCCGTGGCGCCAACAATTAAATCACCTGCGGCTAAATGAGGAATGTTGAATCAAATTACACGTATATTTATAAACTTTATAAATAGAAAAGAATATTATAAAATATTTTTAGTTTTCAGAACGCAATGTCGCTTGACGGCCATGTTGTTTTTATTGTTGTGTTGCTCGTTTGACATAAAATGGTGGTTGGTTTTTTTATGTTAAATTATAAATACATAGGATATAGATTTATATCATTATTAATTTCCAAAAAGAGTTGATGTCAGGCAGGCGGCCGGTCGTAAAACAATTAGCCAAAACTATTCACAACATGTAAGGCAGATCCTGGCTAAAGCTGGGAAATTGCCAAGTAGAGAAAGAAGATAGATTTATATCCTTACATAATCGGTTGATGATATTGGGATTAAGTTAATGGAAAAATATAAATCTTTTTTTAACTTTAAGATATCCAAAGACAGTAAGACGCGCTGTCTGTAAATACTTTTAGTTCTATTAAATAAAATGACAGAAATCTTAAATTTATGAGACTCTGCAAAGGAAATGAAGTAATTTCAACACAATTCTGTTATTTACTACGCGTTTTTAGTAATTTTGTACAACATACTCCCGACGTTTCGGTTACTTTGCAGCAACCGTGATCACGGTCAGAGTAGATGAAAATTTACATTTTAAAGCTTTTAAAGTTTTTTTAATATTGATTATCTATGTATTCTGTATTCAGTATTTTCTTGATATTCCGAAAATTGATAATTATTTTATTAACAAGGATGAAAGTATGAAACTAGTTAAATAATAAAAGAAATATAAAACTTGCCAATAGCGTGAGTTTAAAATCTTAGTCTAAGAGCTATAACAAGAAATTATTAAAACTAAAAGTAAATTATGAATCACTTTTTGCAGAATAATTGAACAAAAAAACATAACATTCTTTGACTACGTATATTGTCTAACGAAAATCATCAGGCCATAATGACTCTTATTGATCATATGAATAAGATTAAATATTGCATAATAGTCAAAAAAATATAACATTCTTTGACTATGTACATTGTCTAACAAAAATCACCCCATCACAATACAGGCCATAATGACTCTTATTTCACATACGAATAAGATTAAATATCGCATAATAGTTTATATGGAAATAGCGAAATGTCTTAGAAAAAGTAAAAAGCTAAATATGACGGTGCGTTGACCGAAGTGCTGACCCGCGCCGAGGTCACGCGGTCACCGAGGCAACGCTTTAAGGACTAGACTTGAAATAATCTTCAAACGTAGGCTTTAAATAAACTTGTTTTAAAATAATAAACTAAATAGTGGGTTAATATGAGTTTTTTTTTTAATAAGGCAAAGGTTTTTGATTATACAGCCTCGACTGTCAGTTATTAATTTAAAAAATTGACACAGTATATACTTATTATTTTGTATGGAAATACGATAATATATATTACAAAAATACATATATAATATAATAATGTATTTTCAGTAAGGTTTTATACGATTAGAGACTTGGTTTAATATTTTCAAAGCGTTTTATAATCATTTAATTGGCTGAATTCACAAACGGGATTCCGCTGTTCTTAACGTCTGATTCATCAATGGATCCAGCATTGAGTTAAAAGCTTTAAAGTTTAAAGCCTACAACGATTTATACCATGATATTTAATTGCCCATACAGATAGCTTCACTGGCTGACTGATATAAAACCTTTGCCTTACGTCTAATAAATATAAAAAAAACATATATTTAATTTTAATAAGATTTGTAACTTCCTACTTTATTAACATATTACTTTTATTTCATTTTTATAGAATATACATATATGTATATTTTTTAATACATACAATGATAATATGTGAGAATTTCTCACGAGAACAAAAGTGTTCCGTACATTTCAATGTGTATAATATATTGTAAAATATGTGAATCTACACATAAAAGCTGTACGTAATAAAAATTCCATATAATTATAAACACGAGATTAAGAAGTAAACTATTAAAAATGCAATTTAAATTAAAAATTTAATGGGTTTTCGAATGAAAACATTTATATTCTGTGTCTTGGAAATTTATTGATATAGAAACTTCTTTCAGAAAAATAGCATTCTTATTTATGGAGTAGCCAACAAAAAATTTATATTAAAAAATATCATATAATTAGGTATATGAAATCATATATGTATATTTATAAAGCGCGAAGTCTAGTTATAGTTTCTACTTTCAAATTCTATATATTAGACTTATGAGTTAGAAGAAAAATAAAAGTTACTATAATGAACTAAACTGAAGAATGTATAGCCTCTGTTTTCTTATTATTATATGCACCGTATTATTATCTCACACGCTTTATATACTTATTCAAATCTATTAATATATATAATCTGTATTTTTTAATTTTCATTTTGACAGCTGTCATCACTTCCGACAAGCTAATGGCGACGCCTTAATTGCACCTTCACAAGATGCATCTATCAAAACATTTTCATTGATTACTCTTAAATACCACCTCCACGTGACCCGATTACAAAAATTAACGATGATTATGCTTGAAAAATTTCAATTCGGGTTAGAGAAATGTTCTCACGACGCCATATTGGAGCGTCGCTTTGATTTGACTTTTGAGTGTAGTTAATTGATGTTTAGTACGATAATAATTTATATTATTTTATAACTATCATTTATCTTGTATCATATATATCAAGCTGTAAATAACATCTCATTATCAGTGACTTATAATTGCATGTTTTCTATGGTTTCTGTTTTAATAACTATGGAAAACCTTAAGAATTCTAATAAATAAATAAAGATCATATGCTACACCGTTTTTTATATTTTATCTGTATCAAATTATGCATATAAAAATAATCTTTTTTGTGTCAATGTCAAATGTCACCTTAAATTTTTTGACGTCCAAATTTTTATTCTATTAATTACTAATTTAACAAGGAGTTATTACTTCTTTTTATATTTTTAAATATATAAAAAATTAATTAACCCATAGATAACTTGTCGTCAAATTGAATACTTAATAATGTTTCTTTACGTGTATTCTTATGCTTCTTACTTACATCTTAAGCTATAACAGTTTCAAATAATTGTAAAGTGTTTAATGGCAGCCATTTCCTCAATATCAATATATTAGCAAATCACCGTCTTATTAACATAGTGAACATCGTTTCCAGCTAATAGGGACTGGTGAATATGCATCTTTTCATTAGATGCAAATACTCAGCTTGACCATTTATACTTTCTGATACAGGCCTCAATACAAACGTGTATTAATGAGCTTAGACTGTACTAAAAAGGTTTATTTATTGTAGGAATTTCCTTTTTCTGATATAAAATAGACGTGAAGACCGATAATTCGTCATTCTCTTTGGTTTTAAGTTGGCAATACCAAATAAAATCGAAAAGTGTTTCTTTTATACATCATGAATCAATCGAAAATCTTTTTCGTTTCGCTCTTACTACAAAAACTCCTAAGAATAGATATATTTATACTCATATCTTTTAAAAACAGAAGTAGTTCTACTACTACGTATTTTTATTAGTTATAAATAAGATTGAAATTACCGCGTCACCTAGAAGTTAGAAGTTATGGATGAATCAAGGCTTTTATTAAATTACCCACAGATAAGACAGTTTAGCAACAAATATTTTTTTTATCTGTAATTATATACTCGGAACAAAAAGTATTATTCTATAATAATATATCCTGGGAGGATAACAATATTTAAGTTTAGAAATCATTAGAGTGTATTTGTATAGACGCTAATACTTCACAGTAATCAATAATAATTTATCAATTTATAATTTGCATAAAATATATTTTGCTTAGATAATATAATCAGAAAGCTTAACTCGTATGATTTACTTTTTCCCTTTCAATTATTTTGCTTATTAAATAGTTCTTTGTATATTTTTTATATAGTTATAATAGTTGAAAAAATATACAACGATATTTGCATGTCAACGCTTGAATGGAAATATTTTTCAAAGTTCGTGTTTTGATAATGTTCGATGGTCTATGCACCGGCTATAAAGATGAGGACGCACTGAGAGATTAATAATAATAAAATTATTTTGTCATAAATATAAAATAATTATATTTATTATTGCATAAATAACTTGGTATATAATTTGCTGAGAAATATTTTATTATGAAATTTATTAAGCTTCATGTATTCAGTTAAATAATTATAGGGATAGCTTGTGACTCAGTGGGCAGAATGACTGTGATTATAAGGTGATAAAATATATAAGACGCGCTCGGTACAACCACAACCTTAACGCCATAACTCCATAGAATATGCTAATTGCCCCGAAGACAACTGCTGTGCAATGGGGACACGACTTAGCTTCACTGTTTGTCTTCTCGAGAGCTTGGAGAACTTAGTAAACAACTTGAATACATGTCAACAACAACGCATTCGAATATAAACCTTAATATAATGATATATAGCAGGAAATATATTGCACGTTCCACAGAGACGAGCCATTGTTCATTTCCAAGATAAAAGCCTTTAAAGAACATCCATTTATATGTTTGAATGGATAGAATTTTCTTCGACGTCCATAAATCCTGTTTTGACATTGTCGCTTAGGAAAATAAATGCTTGTAACAATATTACAGTAAATCACATATAAGAAACAACTATATATATAGAAATAACTCTTCGCCCGCGTGGAGTTCGGTTATAATGCGTTTCCAAGAGAACCTTTCAAAAGTCTGGAATAGAAACTATCTTATGTTCTTTCTTAAGGTCAACTCTATGTCTGTACCAAATTTCAATAAAATCAATTCAGTGGTTTAGGCGTGAACGCGTAACAGACAGACAGAGTTACTTTCGCATTTATAATATTAGTAGGGGTTGTGTATATTAAATATATCATATATTTTTTTGGTTACAGATCAGCAACATTGCTGTTAGTTGTGGCTACGACATTCGCAACTCCAGCCTCGCCAGTTGAGAACTTGACCTTGGATAATAAGGACCCAACCACACATGAGCTTCTTAGCTCATTGGGACTCAAGAAGCTAAGGATACCAGCCGCACACCATAGAAAACGTCTCGCAGAACAAGGCAGGCGGCACGCGTCAGGTGATTCCAGAATGTTCGTCATCAAACTGCCTCCGAACACTAGTTATTACAGCCACGCGGAGCCAGCGCCGGCTGTAGCTAGAACATTACCGCTACAGATGACCAGCAATGGAAAACCAGCGAGAGTATATCACTGGAATCTACCAGTGCTGAGCAAACTCGCCAAAAACCGCCCGCAAGCGAGATTCGATGATGATGTTGTGAACGTCGAAAGTACTCCGACCTGGCCGAAGATCAAACATCCGAACTCCATAGACGCACTCTCATATTACGTACCAGCTAAAAAATCGTCTTTTAGGAAATATTATTCTGGTAACGGCAAACCTAAGTCTTTCTATATCATCGAAAAGGACAAAAAGACCGCCGAATACCACAGACTACTGCCATAATTTGTAATATATATTTTTTAAGTTATTATATTGCAATATTGTGGAAACTATTTGTTTAGATCTTCTTACATTTTTCTGTGTTGCCCTCGTTTAATGTTTTAACTTTTAAAATATGTAATGAGTCTTTGGACTACTGGTTATAAAATTGCTTTTTTTAATGGCGAACTTTTTTATTCAAACTTAATAACATTATATTCATCTTTCATCAATTTAAGTAATATTAATGGCAATACTACTATTCTTTATAATGTAAATGATCTGTATGTAAACTTTATGGGGCCTATTTCGGAGAACATTCCTCTGTAAAAAAGCTTCATATAAGTATTGACTTAGGTTAAGTAACCTATAGGTGCTTAGATATTTTATTAAGACTGCGTCACGAATTTAAATTATTACATAGATTAAGGTATTTACAAATAGTTACTAATGGATTTTCAGAATAGAGACATTCAATTTAAAGTTCAATGAAATTGTAAACACAACTATTAGTTGCAGATTAAAAACTATAACCATAAATTAATAATAACAGGAGATATGTCATGTCTCTATTTTGAAAAATTGAGGCTCTTAAATGCATTTATTACACTGGTCAGGTTAATAATAATTTATATTTATTGTATCCTAATAAAATAACAGCATTTATAGAGCTCTGAATGCTCTACATTTAATCAAGTCTATATAAAAAACTCTAGTGATAAAACAATCATATTGATTAACGTGTAATCGTATTACATTAATCTAGTTTTTGTAAAATGTTTAACCCTTTATCATATAAGTTTACATGTATTCCCTTAATAAAACAAATTACATGTTCTCCGTATTTTATTTGTATTTAATTTCATGAGATCACGTCACGCCATCTAGTTACGAATCAGTGAACAACTACGCCCGAAAAATTACTTTTACATCCGTTTAACAGATGGCGCCACTCAGTACAAAATACTACATTATCGACATCAATTTTCAGACATGCGCGGCGGGTTGCGCGATTTATAAAAATCGTAGCAAATGTGAGCCGACATAAATCTATAATCGTTATTCCGGCGCTAACAAATATGTCACCCGGCTCGGACGCTAGTGCTAAAAACATGTTAGAAAATACAGAAGAACAGAATAAAGTTAAAGATAATATAGTGTATAATGATAAAATAAATACTTTCAGTGAACAACGTGAAAATAAAGGTGTAGAAAATAAGGATATTGATACTGTTATCAAAGTTAAAAGTGCTATCCCTAGAAGACGGTGGGTTTCGTAGAAAAATTAAGAAAGTACAGTGAAATATCCTTCAGTATTACTGTTATCTTCATTTTATGTTAATAACGCAAGATTAGAATAACTATCGTGAAAAGTATATCGCTATAATTCAAGGAATTATTAAAAGACACTCTACAATAATTAATACCAAAAATAATATAACACAGAAATGGTTATCGTGATAATCTAATTGTTTATTATCCAAAGGGCTTTTCCCTCCATAAATATAAATTTATTAGTCTGTAGCTTTTATAGTAATTATTCATTTAATGAAATTGAAAGTGTTGCCTTGGAATTTTCTTATTGATTTCTCACTTACTGCTTTTTCTTCATTAAAAATTCAGATGAAACCTAAGAACGGAATTACTATATCGCTAAAATTTCATTAAAAAATTTGTTGTATTGAAAATACGCGTGTCTCTTTCCTTACAATATTGTAAACAAGTAATAATTTAATTATAATTTGTTCCTAATTACGATGTTTTGTTATCCGCTCCACGTCTCTGGTTATAATTAAACAACGCGTTCATCTAAAAATATCAAAACTATATTGCGCAAGCTCTCTTTACAAGTTCAGTAACAGAATCACACATTTGAACCAATTATCCCTATTTAAAGCAATAAAAATAAAACTCGATTATTAGTTCAGTAATATTTAATTATTTTTTTTATCATTTCATGTAGTCTATATCCTTTTATTGTATTTACTTTAGAAACAAAATATTTGTCAATGACACTAACAATTTTATTTAGAATAACATTCGTAAACCTTATCCGTGTGTATAATAAAAATAAAACAAATACTTATGGATATTGAAGTAGTAAAAAGTTCATATTTTTTCGTACTTAGTATATTATTAAAACAACGTTGATAATTTTTTATTTCAATCTTTAAAATTTGAGTTACTTAAACACAAACATCTAAGACTATTTACACACGTTTGCTACATGAGTTGTATCAATAAAAATATTTAGCAAAACATCCTACATATTTCTATTTTAGTTCATGAAATAATACGTAAGTTATATGTATTAAAAAAAACTCGATTAATATCAATAAAGATTAACATAAGTGTCCGTACTTAATACGGTGCCGAATTATATAAATGGGTCAACGTTTTATCATGATAAGAACAGCATGTCTGACTGATAGTAATATTTTGTAGATAGCGAGAGATATAATATTTTAATTTAAAACAAACCTTAGTAATGTGTTTCTACTTTTTGTATGTATCCTTAATCCTATTTGTATCGCATTCCAATAATTATCACTACCAGTGGCGGCTGTACCTTAAGTGCACTCGTGCGCTGAACCACCATTCAAAAGTTTTAAAAAATTACAAAATATTACTTCATCATTATTTTTAAATTACCATTTTATTATTTATTTTTTAAACATAAAAACGTATAAAGTTAAGTTTTCTAATTATAGTCAAAAAGTTTGAGCGCTTTGCTAAACTAATATCTCGTGCGCTTCGGCGAGTGCACGAGGACTGCTAATACATGTTGTATGAGATACGCATTAATACGCCTGACGCGTGAAACAAAAGATAGTTCATAGAAATGTACCGAGTAATGAGTCGGTTCTCGAGCGCCGCACGAGCGACCGAACATTACCCGATGTATGACGAATTGAGCCGTTTTTGACATCTCGTTATGTTTTGTTGCATTTTCTAATTTTAATATTTTAGTAAAGTGCACCACCAGTTTTATAACCCACCAGCCGCCACTGATCACTACTCTTAGTACAAGTTTGCCTTTGCATGTAACTACATTCGTAACGTTTCCTGTTTCGCGTTCAAATAATTGTGTACAAAGACTTATTAATGAAAAACTATCAAGTATCCGAATAAAGTATATACTTTTTAAAGTAAGCATAATCATACCTCAAGTTTTCACAAAAAAATTCAAGTTTTATTCATAAATTTTCGAACATCATACTTACAATGTAGGTGTACAATAATGGTAAACTGAAAACTCTCGAATTCAGTTTGAAAGTAAAAACTCGTGGTAATGGTTCTGGCTACTACCAAAAGACGAATCTATTGCCAACATCCACAAATATTTGCCCATGTTAGGTCAACACAACTACAGAGCTTATTCAAAACACCTATGAACTAACTGTGAAGGTGATGTATCGAATGTATGAAGTATTGATTTATTAATAAAAATGACTTAATTAGTAAAGGAACATTATTCTGATATTTTGGAGTTAATTTAATATAACAAAAGTTATTTTGTTCCTTCTTATGTTAAATGTTTCAAACTCTACAAGCAGCGGAAACTACATCAGATGATACCTTTCCTAAACTAATTTATGTAACTTAATACCTTGTCTAAATGTATGGTTTTTCATCTAAAATTTTACGACACAGTACTTCACATAAGTGACTATATGTAAATTCTTGTTTATAACAACAAAATTATACTTCTTCCGTAAATTTATAAATATATTAAATTAAATATTCAATTTAAAATTTTCGTATTACCAAACTATTTGTTAAACATAATTAATAACAATATATTAAAAAATTAAATCGTTTTATTGTTGTAAATTTTAATTGTATTGCGCAGAACAACGCGCATCGTTTGGCGTCTTTTGGTTAGCGCATGCGCATCAGCAACGAGTTTTGTAAACACTAAGTGACGCGATGTAACTTCTAAAGATCTTATAAAGTTAAAAAGGGTTTAGATGTTAAAAATATATCATAGAACTATTTATTGCTTGTGTAACCGTGTTGTGTAATTTTAGACAGGATCTACTGAAGTGGTACGGATGGGGCTATCAGGACTCGACGTTTAAAATTTCTGATGGCGTAGCATTTTTTACTGGAAACAGGTAAGTTTTGACATTCATTAATAACAAATGTACCAAAATATCTATGCTTGGGTATATAATAATACTTCTACTTTACATTTAAATTCTCGAAAACTGTTGGCGTGAAGTTGATTCATTATTTAAATTTGTTTAAAATAAACAATATACTTTAACATTGTTCAATCAGTAAAATTTCCAACAGAAAAGCAAATTATACATTTAAAACTTATTTTTTATTGTAAATTTGATTATAATATTCTGGTTTCCTTGTAAGAATAGTTCTAATTCATTAATAATTGAGGTATAAAAGGAATTAAATCATCTTTTTTGTGTATCCTGTATCGTTTACACATTAGTGAAAATTCACAATACGTACTAATTTAATTATCACTATATAAAGAATGTCGCGAGTGTTAATAGTTTTAACCTCTCTGACCGAATTGATCTTGTCCGCTTTAGTTGTGTAACAAAAAATGTACTTGAATTATGTATTAGTCGAAATAATACATTATATCATGTTTATTCTATTGTCTAAGTTACATAACTGTTTTATCAAATTCTGATTTTCGTGAGGGCTAAGCTCACAACTTTCGCATTTACTTATAAGATTAAAAGCGGCCACGATTGAATCTTTCAAATGTATTGTATTGTTATTTGCACATTATGAAGATGACTTGAAGCCATTTTAGCACTTTAGGATAGAATTGGTCAAATCTAGTCTTTCAATTAAGCTTACGTAGCAACAGTCTAAAAACCGAATGTTCTCCTTTTTAACTACAAAATCTTTAAAGAACATTGATTAAAGTTGGAAATAATTAGCTATGTTTTTCGATAAAAATCTACAACTAAAGTTTCATTGTCGAACCCCCCTCTAACTTTATACAATCGATATCTTTCTAGATATGAATAGTTTTATGAGTAATTATTTAAATTTTATCGTTGATAATCATGAAAATTGATAAACTAATATCGGAATGGAGTCTTTGATAGATAAAACCGATTTAGCGTTGGTGATTAATGCCTAGTTGCGATAATTATTCGATTTATTAAAATAGATAAGAATCCACTTTCTTTATGCGTTCGCATTTTTTTATATAAGAGGTACTTTGGACACTGAAGTAAAACTAGATTACTATCTTAAATCTCATTATTTTTGACACGTTTTCGTGATGCAGAAGCTACCTATCTATATAATATGTCGGTACTCGGATAAAAACTTTTTTATACGTGTCAGGAAAAAACAAAAAGTTCCTTCCAAAAAGTTTTTATTAACAAGGTTTTAATACTACATTAAGGTGGAACTTTGATGATGATGTAGGAATTCTGATAAATGTTCTTTTAATAATTAATGATACCTATCTAAAATTTTCGTGGTATTTATCTAAATTAAACTAAGGTTTTCGGATAATACTACGCGTTTTTACAGTAACCGTGATCTCGTCTGCTCGTGATCACGGTTGCTGCAAAGGACCTGAAGCTAGATTACGTGTTCATGGAATAAAAAAAACGTATTAGTTTCATTGAAATATTCTATGATATAAACTAGAACATAAACATATTTGTTAACAAGATTAAGGTTGTAGAACACCTCTGAGTAAAGATAATTGCATTCTTAAAATTATTGTGTGTAGTCAAACAGATGGAGTATGTACCATAATTAATTCAGTTCTTAACAATGTCCTGTCCATTTTATAATAAACACAAATGTTACTAGTGGAAGACTCGCTTTCATTAGCCAAATTAATTCCAAGTTATTATATTTTCTCTCGACATGGAACGTCAAGTGCTCTGTTTAATAAGTATCGGTTCTCCGTTCTACCTACACAGTGAAAATGAGACGAAGATGTGTCTTCAAAGACGGGAAAGAAAAATTATTCTCAGTGTTCAGAAAAGTCTTTAGGACCTATTTTACTTTTGCTGTCTTCCAATAATATTTGCACGTAGTTATAAACCTAAAAATTATATTATAATTTTACTTTTTCAAAATGTCCATGACTGATGATACTAAGAACGCTCATTACACCAAGCTGAAAGTAACTGACTATTAACAGTGTATTTCTTCCGCTGTTGCTAAGATTGAAACTTTGCTAAACGAAAATTTAAAACTATTTAAAACAAAACGAAAATTTAAAACATAAAACTATTTTCATCTTAAAATAAATGAATAAAAAACTGATAATTCTCCGTATGAAGTAAACTTGAGTAAAAATACTAGTATAATGAAATCTTCAAAGAAAACGTGTGCCATCATTAATATAATTCCGTTTGGGTCAAATTCGTGTGAATCCTGTAACTATTTATTTATGAGTATGCGCTATTTAATTAATTTTGCCGATTTAACTGACATTTGCATACAAATATGTTGTATTAATTTATATAAAACAATGTCATTTGAAAAAGAAATTCTAATGCTTATCAGAGTTCAACATTTTAAATTATAATTATATGTTTTATAAAACATTTGATTTTATTTGATTAAATTATCATTATGTATTAAATAATTTTATCTATGTAATTGTTATCAGAGCTAAGAAAGTTTCGTCGTCCGACCACGAGTTTATTTAAGGTGGGCGGTCATATAAATTGGCTTATCCCGTTTCTTAATCATTTGCAATTTACACGGAATTTCTTTTCATTGACTCTAAAATTCATCCCAAACACATAAATTACAAACAATACATATTATAATTGTTTAAAATTTATGATAAATATTATATTGCATGCCCGCCTCTCATGCATGAGGGCGCGGGTTCGATCCTGGCCCTGCCAAGTACCAATGTGATTTTTCCGAGTCATATATACTTTCTAAGAGTATTTAGACATCACCGATTAATGCATTCCCAAAGAGGGTTGATGTCAGGCAGGCGGCCGCTCGTAAAAACAAATAGCCAAAACTATTCGCAACATGTAAGGCAGACCCTGGCCAAAGCTGGGAAATTGCCAGGTAGAAGAAGATAAAGATTCGTAATATATTTAATATTAATACTGAGCTAGTCAGTAATAATAATTCAGTATAATTACATAATGCTACGCTAATTAACATATCCTGTGTGTCATACACGCATAGAGTTGACCTCACGTCTGAAACAATACTAGACTGGCATTCTGCAAACTAGGACGGACCAATGACATGTATTTATCTGGACTGAACGCGTTTTAAAATTAGTACAGGCAATATATACAAAACTTTAATTTTTTCATCATAAATACATATAGTAAAGAGATCTGAGATTTCGCAAGTCATTTACTTAAATGAAACTAATATTTTTCGGATGTATTTACTACATAAGTGACTTTATTTTTGCAGCAACCGTGATCACGAAAAGTAACCGAAACGTCGGGAGTATGTAGTTTTTATCAAAAATAAAGTCGCGTAGTATATCCGAAAAATATTAATACATAAAGTCTTTGGAGTAAGAAATATTGTTATTGCTTCAGAGATAAATCTTTTAGTTATGAAACAGTACTATTAGGAATTATAATAGAATTTGAGAGGCTATTTTAATTATAACAAAAAGTAGTTTTTAGGCATGACAAAAATATTGTCTAACTTAATGTTATTAAACATAACGGTGCTTTTCAGATCTAAGACTTTCACGAGTATTCATTTAAATGAAACTAATATTATTCGGATTATACTCGTATTTTATCATTTTTAAAATTACATACTCCCGAGGTTTCGGTTACTTTTCATCAAGCGTGATCACGGTAACCGAAATATTGGTAGTATGTAGTTTTTTACGCGTAATATAATCCGAAAAATATCAGTTTAATTTCTGTCGTTGTTAAAGTATATATCGAATATAATGTTTGTGTATAAACATGATTGTGTACCAACAAACAATACTTCCACATTGTTATTAATTGAAAACAAACAAGTATGTATTAAAACAAACAATATGATTTACGAGGACATTCTGTACTGCAGTTTGTTTTGCACTTGTCGCTGTTTACAACTGAGTAGACTCTGTCTTGGGTAACTTTATTATGGAGTCCTTGGTTTAATATAATATTACATACGACAGTAATAGGAATTAAATTTAAATGTTTAAAATTATATGTTAAACATTTAAATGAAACTAATATTTTCGGATTTTACTTCGCGTTTTATTTTAGTTTTAGAAACTACATACATACTCCCGACGTTTCGGCTACTTTTCAGCAACCGTGATCACGGGCAGACGAGATGTGAGTGTGAGACACAATATTAGTTTCATTTAAATGTGTACTCGCAAAAATCTTAGATCTCATTATATGTTAAACATTTAAACACGTCGGATTATAGAGTACTGCCTAAGACCCCCTATAATCCGGATTTTTTTACAAAAGAGTACCTTGTAATCCGACAAATTACAGATTCAATAATATATATACATATTTACATATTATATATACATATGTACTTACATGTACTCTGAAGTACAAATCATACTTCATTATGTATGTCAAATTTAGTAAATTAGACAACAATAGGGAGCTTACGTCTTATTATAAAATCAACGTCATTAATGCTATAGAACGTACAAAAAACAAATAATTGATCATGTCGGATTACAGGGGGTGCCGGATTAGATAGGGGCCGGATTACCGGGGGTGCACTGTACATGTGTTTTTATTATTCAGTATCATGAATTGTATGACGTCCCATACATATTTACTCTAAATTCACGTTCAAAATAGTAGTGTAATTCTTATTACAGTGTTACATGTTAGATCATGTTCATAAGAGAAGGTCACTCAGTCCTTGGATGATAGGAAAATATTTATTTTTTATATTTTCGATTGTCGCTTGTTATCATAAGGCGCGCCTTGTAGATGTTAACGTGTCAATATTACATACGCAACATAAAAACACATCTTACAACAAATGTATGGAGTTTACGAAACAATTATTAAATACAATAATGATGGCTTGAGAATGATTTGGTTGTTTTTATAATTATTATATGCTTTGATATGAAGTATTTTCAGTTGTTCCTCTTTTGTGTTATGCTAACGCCTTAGACTAGAATTAGATGTATGAATAAAAATTAAATTAGACTAAGAGTTTTTAAGAGATTGAAGGCGTAAATAGTTATAATAGACTAAGACAGTCAAATGAAATGGTAATTGTAACTAAGTCACTAGTAGCTTTCCACAGGCTATAATCATTCATGAAAAATTCTAAAAATATCATTTTTTTTTGTACAAATATACGTAGAAATTTTGAATAAACATTGTGTTTTAAATGTTTTTAGTTGCTAGCTCGTCTATTTTCTGGATTTAAATCGTACTACACGTAAGGATGTTGGATTGATGCCTGAAAATATAATAATTACCTTTTTTATTGGAATCTATAGCTAGATTTCAAATACGAATCGCTAACCTGAAAGTTCACACATATATTGAAACATTATAAAAATTATATTTAAGAAACTTTCACGTTACTCTATAAGTGTATAACATACGGACTCTTCTTAGATCGACTATTTAATTTGCATTGAGTTTCTCTGTATACTTCTTCTACCTGGCAATTTCCCAGCTATAGCCAGGATCTGCCTTACGTGTTGTGAATAGTTTTTGCTAATTGTTTTTTTACGACCGGCCGCCTGCCTGACATCAACCCTCTTTTGGGAATGCATTAATCAGTGATGTCTAAATACTCTTAGAAAGTACATATGACTCGGAAAAATCACATTGGTACTTGCCCGGACCAAGAGCGAACCCGCGCCCTCATGCATGAGCGGCGGGCCTTTTAACCACTAGGCCACCACTGACTTTTCTCTGTATACATTCTCGAAGCTGTAAAATCTGGTACTCCCATAGCTGATGAATAATAGGATAAGCAATTTATGGAAAGCCATCAGTGGCATCCACATAAGAAACGACCTAATGTACAGAGTTAAACAGACAAGCCGTGGATAAATTCTCTCCCTTTCAACGCAAAATTTCCTCCGGGAGCAAAATTTTTCATACATAACATACTCATAAAGCAAACCCTTTTACTTTTTAAAACGTTTTTATTTTTTAACCAAACCTTTATTTTTTGCTGGAAGACAATTTAGTCCGGTCAAGTGAGCCTATCCGGGGCGGCCTCAAGGCTTAAATCATTATACTTAAGGTTAACTCTGATATGGGCTGATTATAGAATATTTATTGACGCAAAACATTATAATGACTAATGACAATAATTTAAAAATGTATGTTTAAGAGCAAAATATATAAACGGAACGTCGCGAATATTTAGTTTTTAAATTAATAAAATATACGTTATATGTATATATCAGAAAAATATCATTTTTATTTAAATGAATACTCGCAAAAATCTTAAATATCATGTAAACACTTTTTAAATTATTCGCTTTTATTAAATGCTTGATATGTATCAAAGATCATTCGACAGTGTTTTAATCTTCAACAGTTTTCGGGAAGAATTCATTTAGGATAACAATACTTATAAACCTTTCACTTTCCTCGCAAACTATGTACGTATAAATTACATTAGACATAATGACAAAAATAACTAATCAATGTTCTAATTATTTGTGACCGTTCCATCAGATACTTGCTGGGTGGAAAAAAACTACCGCACGCCCTACAATTCATAAAGGAATACTTCAACGTAGATATAACCAAAGATGCGATACCACCACCACAACCCACGAGCTTTCAAGAGAGCAGGTTGCCCTCAACCATTAAAGAAGATTTGGAGAAGATAGCGCCTCTCAGTACAGATGGTATGGACCGACTGATAAGAGCCCACGGACAGACCTTGAAAGACGTCTACTGTCTGAGGAAGAACAGCTTCCAGAGAATACCTGATGCTGTTATATGGCCGCAGACACACCAACAGGTTGATATGACATTATATTGAATATCTACATACATCGTTTTGTCATTGCTACATTTTCAGTTACGTGAAAAGGATTTTTTATGACGGAATATGTAAAAGATTTAACTGAATCCAGGAAAAAACTCAATAAAAGTTAGCTAGAATATTATAAGGGTAGTCAGTAAAACTTTTTTGAACAATCGTTCTTATATTTCAGGTCGAAGATATAGTAAAGTGTGCGTCCAAACACAAGTTCGTGATCATTCCTTTCGGCGGCGGGACTTCTGTGTCAGGGTCAGTGACCTGTCCCGCTAATGAAGAGAGACCCATACTAGTGTTAGACACCACCGATATGAACGCTATCCTGTGGTTGGACAAGGAACAATTACTTGCGAGGGTCCAGGTAATACGAATCACATACTTTGATCCTCTTCCTGTATGAAAAATTACTTTCCTAATCAAAGTCCTATAAAGCCCACAAAACAGAATCATTATTGCTAGCTATAACTGCAGTTGCTATTATTTGTTCTAGTAAGACATTCAATTTTACCTTAATAATCACCAGTTTGTACTTGAATATAAGTAAACAAAAGTACATATCGTCACCCAAGTCTATCCTTCCAGGCGGGTATACTAGGTCAGGACTTGGAGCGCGAGCTGCGTTCCCGGGGGTACACGGTCGGCCACGAGCCGGACTCGTATGAGTTCTCCACCCTCGGCGGCTGGGTCGCCACACGAGCGAGCGGCATGAAGAAGAACACGTATGGAAATATAGAAGACCTGATAGTACAGACCAAGGTGACCACATAAATGAAACTAATTTCGGACTTTATTTTTGTCAAAAACTACATACTCCCGACGTTTCAGCTACTTTTCAGCAACCGTGATCACAAAGTTTTTGACAAAAATAGTCTCGTAGTAATCCGAAAAATATTCGTTTCATTTAAATTAGTAAAATTCCCGAAAATTTTAGATCTCATCAGGGTAACCGTATTATGAGAGATTTTGACACGTTTTGTTCGGTTTGAATTTCGAATATATTATATGTATTGGCGATATACTCTTGTTCTACATGGCAATTTCCCAGCTTTAGCCAGGGTCTGCCTTACATGTTGTGAATAGTTTTGGCTAATTGTTTTTACGAGACTGCCTGACATCAACCCTCTTTTTGGGAATGCATTAGTCAGTGATGTCTAAATACTCTTAGAAAGTACATATGACTGGGAAAAATTACATTGGCAGGATCGAACCCGGGCCCTCGTGCATGAGAGGCGGGCCTTTTAACCACTAGGCCACCACTGACTAATTTATTATATTGTCAATATATGTATATAGTGTAATCTAATATTAATTTGTCCTCCAGATCGTGACTCCTACGGGCGTGATCGAGAGGAACTGTCGCGTGCCTCGTATATCGTGCGGCCCCGACTGGGAACACGTAGTGATGGGCTCTGAAGGATGTCTAGGAGTAGTCACCGAGGTTAGAGGAAATACTTGTAGGGAGTTCCTTACAAGTCTATCATATCACATGATCATTTTAGGAGGTTATAATGGATGTTAATATATCACAAACTAGCCGGCGTGATTAGTAAATTTAAAGTGCCAGTGTCTTCATATACGCTACTGTTGCTTAAGTTATTGTATGTTGGTATAAAACATTAAATCTTGTAGTACAGAGCATTTAAGCTATACTGTTGCACATCATCTCTATCTAAGCGCACGGTAGTGCGCCGGCCAAGTTCCACAGGCCGGCGCACTACCGTGCACTATATTTACACGAACCGTTTCGACCCACTTTTGACCCCCCTGTAGCTCAGTGCCTATTGCAAGTACAGAGATAAAATTTTACCTACGTAATCATATACTAGAACTAAAGCAGTATGCCAAATTTCATAGATAAAGCTTCAGTAGATCCTGAAATATGACCCTGTGAAAATAGCTAATTTTGGCACTGACTCACTGACAGGTAATCAAAACCTCTAGGCCACTTCCCATTGTTTTAGCATTATGAAATTTGGTACACAGGTTGTGTGTTATATGTAGATTAACAAAAAATTAAGAAATTTAAGAAATCGGTCAAGCGTGAGTTGCCTCAATTCTAAATATCGAATTTTTAATAAATTCGACCCACTTTTGACCCCCTGTAGCTCAGTGTCTATTGCAAGTACAGAGATAAAATTGTACCTACGTAATCATATACTAGTCCTAAAGCAGTATGCCAAATTTCATAGATAAAGCTTCAGTAGATCCTGAAATATGACCCTGTGAAAATAGCAAATTTTGGCACTGACTCACTGACAGGTAATCAAAACCTTTATATAGGCGCTCAGCTCAGCACAATAAAATACATAATAATGAAATATTAATGATTAATAATATGAGTACATCTTTCAATCGGTGATAAATGAAACTAAAAAATAAAAAATAAAAATAGTTTAAAAAAAAACTAAAAAACACGCTCCAATGATGAAAGAAACCGCGTGGAAACTAATTTAACCTTTACAACCTTGGAAATCAATTTAATTTAAATTGTTTAAAATAAACAATAAATGGTATTATTGAAAAAAAAGCGTGGGGCGCTTCTCAAGAAGTGATATATGAAGCTCATCACGCCTTTTTTTCACAAAAATACCATTTATTGTTTGTTAATTTATTTTTAAATTAATATTATTGTGAAAAAAGTGTGGGGCGCTTCTTAAGAACTGATATATATATATATATATAAGGGATAAAAAATATTGTCATGTATACATTATGCACACTGTATAACTTAATTAAATATTGCTTACCTAAAAAATCAGGTTTCTTTTGTTATAAATTACTTTCGATAGATGGTGCTAGCGGTATAATTGAATCGCGATATTGTTTTGTATGCAGTATATATGAATGAAAGTCGATAAGGAATCGATGGTCATTTCTTTCTATTTCTTTCTACACTTATATCTTGATATCTTATATATGGTTACGATTACGATTAAATGGATCACTGATTTGACTTGCTCAAGGATTAATTTTGATATTGCTTATTGATTGATTACTTGTGTGTGTTAAAAGCACAAATTCACTCTATTTCTTTTCTACTATTCATTTACCAACGATGGAAATTGTACATCTTTCGGTGGTTGGCGGAGATATACCACATAGGGTAATTCCTATGCCATCAAATGGTAGCTGTATGTTTCATGCTGTAAGTTATGCATTGTACGGCTGTATAGTACGATTGTATGTACGATTTCTTGAAAAAAAGTATTGAAATCTCACCAAAAACATGCCTGTTAAAAAGGGGGCCAAGTTCCAATCGGCTAATTGTTTGCCTAAAAAAGGGGTGAAATCCAATCTAATGCCAAGTTTAGATGCACTTTGAAATCGATCATAATCATCTTCATCAACAGCATGATCCACTGGTAAACATTTGCCATTCCCAAGACTCGCCACCACACCCAGTCCTCTGCCTTCCACATCCAGCCACTACCCGCCACCTTATTCACGTCAACGGTCCATCTGGCCGAAATTCACTTTACCATACACCCAACTTAAAATATGGTATAGTTGTGAAAATACGTAGGTGCTTGGTTAAAAATATCTAAAATTATAATACTTCTCAATTTGAACTTGGCAGGTTTTTGTGCTGTTATTATTTAGTTATATAATTATTTATATTTATATAATTTAAATATACTAAATTTAAATAATTAAATTAACCTGCCAAGTTCAAATTTAGAAGTATTATAATTTTAGATATTTTTAACCAAGCACCTACGTATTTTCACAACTATACCATATTTTAAGTTGGGTGTATGGTAAAGTGAATTTCGGTCAGATGGACCGTTGACGTGAATAAGGTGGCGGGTAGTGGCTGGATGTGGAAGGCAGAGGACTGGGTGTGGTGGCGAGTCTTGGGAATGGCAAATGTTTACCAGTGGATCATGCTGTTGATGAAGATGATTATGATCGATTTCAAAGTGCATCTAAACTTGGCATTAGATTGGATTTCACCCCTTTTTTAGGCAAACAATTAGCCGATTGGAACTTGGCCCTCTTTTTAACAGGCATGTTTTTGGTGAGATAGATCTAAAATAAATTAAAATAGAATAATAACAATTGTGCTTGTAGCGGAAGTAGTGAAACTTCGTAATTTTGAAATGTTAATAGAAAAGGGTACGATTTTTTTTTTCAAAGAATTCTAAGTATTTCTTTAAAACATACTTTACTGACATTACTTACAAGTCACAATTGATTGCTCGAAGACGTTCGAGCGACACGCATTCCTTCTCACCCTATCTCTTTTTATCTTAAGGAGCGTTAAAGTTTAACGCAACATTATGATACTGTCAGTCGATTCGACAATCTTCCTCACTTTATATAATACAATACATTGCATATGTCACAGGTATATTACAAAAGATGAAAATGTAATAACCCTAGATTTAGTTATTAAGCTAAAAACAAATTATGTACATTATTTCATGGGTGTTAATAAATAAATTATTATTATTATGTGTTTCAGGTGACAGTGAAGGTCCGTCCTCTCCCGCCGTGTGTTCGTTACGGCTCCCTCGTTTTCCCCGACTGGGAGGCTGGCTTCCACTTCGAGAGGGAGGTTGCTAGACAACGAGCACAACCTTCCAGCATACGACTCATGGATAATGAACAGGTATATGACAATTAACTTCACTTGTACCTATATTTTTATTTTATTTCTATTGGTAATCCAAGAGCGTTACAGTAATTTTAGTAACAATATAGATAAACAAGGCCAATTTAGGATTACACTTTACAGTTCTACAGATACACTCGATTAATTAAGGATAAAAAGAAAAGGAAAAAAAAGCAAAGCAAATGGTGTTAAATACAAAAGTGTGTCTGTGTGTGTAACTTGTAGTAGATTAATATAAACCAACGACCTTTCAGTTCCGCCTAGGCCACGCGTTAAAAGAGCAGCAATCGTGGGGCGGAGTCGTTCTAGATGGTTTAAAGAAGTTCTACATAACACGGATCAAAGGCTTCGATCCTTTGAAGCTGTGTGTCGTTACTCTATTAATAGAGGGCAGCACGGAACACGTCGCGCGCAAGGAGAAGAAATTAAACGCTATAGCGGCGGAGTATGGAGGCGTGCCGGGCGGAGCGAGGAACGGGGAGATAGGATATACGCTGACATTCGTCATCGCTTACATACGGGTGAATAAATAATATATGCTATACATATATTAATTCATAGCCATCGATCATAGATGGCGCTGTTAATATCTTCATCATCCTATCAGAGCCCACTGCAAAAGCCTCTTCTCACATAGAGAAGGTTTGAGCATTAATCGCCACGCTTGCTCTAGACGGATTGGTGATTTTAAAGTTATAATTTGAATTATAAGTCCAAGTTTCCTCACAATGTTTTTTTCTTCATCTGTCAGTGGTGTCTAAATACTCTTAGACAGTACATATAACTCGGAAAAATCACATTGGTAGTTTGGTACTTGTGCACCGAATCCGCGTCCTCATTCATGAGAGGCGGGCATTTAACCAGCAGGGCACCACTTTTTTTGTTGATAACGTCTTATATCTTCTACCTGGCAATTTCCCAGCTATAGTATATGTCTTATATATTATAATTAATCCTTATTATTCCTTCCAGGATCTCGCGTTAGACTACGACATAGTAGCGGAATCCTTCGAGACGTCTGTATCGTGGGAGAGGACTCTGGCTCTTTGTAAAAACACTAAAGAACGAGTGAGGAAGGAGTGTCGAGATAGAAACATTCAGGAGTACATTATATCGTGCAGGCTCACGCAGACGTTAGTATATACAAGATAGATTATAGACATTCATATATGTATATATTTCAAAATCTATATACAGGGTGACTGGTGAATTACTATCAATATTTAAGAAGAATACTCAGTACATGATTCTCATTCGAATTATGTAAAAAAAATAGGTACTTAATTTTTGACCAAATTTCCGTATAAATAAATAAAGTGTGGACACGTTCCAAGTGTTCCAAGTGTGGACGCGCGCGGCGGCGTGCTGATACAACACACGCCGCCGCACGCGTGTGTGTGTGTGTGTGTGTGTGTGTGTTTACTTAATCTGTAGGGTGTTCACACGATGCGTAATTAATTACATAACTTTTGGTTAACTTTACTCAGAAGTTTATTAATATTTATGTATATTAATTTTTATATTGTCATATATGATCGTCAAATATCACGTCCTCAAGTATCGATATTAATTCACCAGTCACCCTGTATAAAAGAAAGTCGTGTTAGCTACTCCACTTATAACTCAAGAACGGCTGAACCGATTTAGCTGAAAATTGGCAGGGAGGTAGTTTAAAGCCAGGAAAAGGACATAGGATACTTTTTATCCCGTTCGCATTCCCGTGTGATTTGACATGAAACGTCAGACACTATAAAACGTTACATAAAAGCCTTCTGGTGGCGAAACGGAGTTCGCCGGGTTTACTAGTTAGTAATAAATTTAACACTAAATAATTACTAATTGTGAAAAAATTACCTTAAAAATCGTTAATTTACAAAATATTTCACTATAAACTTTCTTCTGATAATTTTATTCCTATGTAGATACGCGAAATTATCCTCTACGATATGAATAGACAAAATAATGAATATAGACAATACATGTGTAGATAGTTGCTTGTCACAAGACACGTGAACAGAGATATTTATTTAGTGAACTACAATGGAAATAGAATTATCAAAAACTATCCTCAAAGACTAAATTCTATGAAAGTGGATATGACCATGTGGTTATATTACATTATCTGTAACATGATTCACGTTACTGTTTAATAGTTTATCTATTAATAGTAATCATTGATATTATTATAGATAATCTATTTAACTTCAAATTAGATTCAAATCGGTTTATTAAAATGTCTAGCCCTATCAAACAAAGTGATTCATTTCTATCTAACCAATCGTAATTAAATATTTCTATTACTATGACCAAAAGGTGACTCATAGCATGTATCAATCAATTAATTTGATTATTTGAATAATTACTATCTTATTCATATTGCCCGGTCATTATAAAGAATGACCAATGTATTACTTATTCCACATCATTTTTATATATATAATATATAATAATGTTTCAGATACGACGCGGGCTGCTGTATATATTTCTACTTCGCCTTCAAGACAGACCTGAGCATGGATGCGGTTCGAATGTACGAAGACATTGAGGAAGCGGCCCGCGACGAAATAATCGCTAACGGAGGTGATAAATAACAATATGACTTCATTACATCACATATACAGGGTGACTGGTGAATTACTATCAATATTTAAGGAGAATACTCGGTACATGATTCTCATTCGAATTATGTAAAAAAAATAGGTACTTAATTTTTGACAAAATTTCCGTATAAATAAATAAAGTGTTGACACGTTCCAAGTGTTCCAAGTGTGGACGCGTGCGGCGGCGTGCTGATACAACACTAGGCCGCCGCGCGCGTATGTGTGAGTGTGTGTGTGTACCTAATCTGTAGGGTGTTCACACGATGCGTAATTAATTACATAACTTTTGGTTAACTTTACTTAGAAGTTTATTAATATTTATGTTATATTATTTTTTATTTTGTCATATATGATCGTCAAATATCACGTCCTCAAATATCGATAGTAATTCACCAGTCACCCTGTATATCGTCGGGATAGTGCAATCAGCATAATTAATAATTGGATAATACCGCATATCTACATTGGAAGCAAATTATGACATAAAGTTTGAGCTAGATTATTTTCTTTATTAAACGACTTTTAAGGTATTTTTTTTTCCGAATTAGTAATAAATTAAACACTAAATAATTACTTACTATCAAAAAGTTACTTTAAAAGTCGTTAATATAGATAATATTTCATCTTGAACTTTGTTGTGATAATCTGTTTCTAATATAGCATACGCGAAATTATCCAATGCTAGTTACGCGGATATGCACTATCCCCTACAATATACAGGGTGACTGGTGAATTACTATCGATATTTGAGGACGTGATATTTGACGATCATATATGACAACATAAAAATTAATATAACATAAATATTAATAAACTTCTAAGTAATGTTAACCAAAAGTTATGTAATTAATCACGCATCGTATGAACACCCTACAGATTAGGTATACACACACACTCACACATACGCGTGCGAAGGCGTGGTGTTGTATCAGCACGCAACCGTACGCGTCCACACTTGGAACACTTGGAACGTGTCAACACTTTATTTATTTATACGGAAATTTGGTCAAAAATTAAGTACCTATTTTTTTTACATAATTCGAATGAGAATCATGTACCGAGTATGCTCCTTAAATATTGATAGTAATTCACCAGTCACCCTGTATAGTGATTCATAGAACGTACTCTCTAAAACAGACTCCTCTATATACTTTTTTATGTATTTCCCAGGTTCCATATCTCATCACCACGGCGTGGGTAAGCTTCGTAAGAAGTGGTACACACAGACAGTGAGCGAACCCGGGAGGCGGCTACTACTAGCTACGAAAAAAGCTCTAGACCCTGATAATATATTCGCGTTAGGAAATATGGCGTATGATCAATACATGAACGAGGAACTGGGGCTAAAAAGCAAGCTATAACATATTATGACAATATTTTTATGTTAATCACATCTACATAGTCAATTGCCAATATTTGCTGTTATGCAAATAGTAATTTTAATACAATGAAACTGAGGTTTTGGCCATTTTATTATGAAGATGTATGAATATTAATGTATGTTTGATCTTGGTGAATAGATAACGATAAGGATACTCTAAGACTTAACTCATAGGATGAATTTTATACGAACGCCTTATGAAATTTATTAGCAAATGTTACAAATACAGTTTGTTAGTGAAAATAAATTGGACTAATTTCGGAAAGGGATAGATATACTAACATGTTTTTGTACTAAATTATTACACATAGTTTACTAATAACAAAAATTTACATTCCTTTATGTATAATTATTACAATACATATGTTTTCAAACAAAATTTTAATAATGCTCATATTAAATTTTTATTAAAACTAAAAAGAAAGGAGACTTTTTTTCTTCTTAAATATATTGTTTAATAATAAATAATTTTTACATGAAGCGGACTTAAAAAACATTATTTAATTAATTTGTAAAAATATAAATATGATGTTCTTGGTAACATTTATATTTTTAGTTGATAGATGGTCAACATTTTAATAAAATAAACAGTATCATTATATTATATTGTAAACAGTTAAAATAATGTGAATTGTATTATAATTTAGCCATCTATAATACAAGTGGAAATAATTAGGTGACAATGATGAATTAATAATAATCTGCTTACATATAAAGTTGATGCACTTTCATTGACAATTATTTTTCTGTATTTATTTAATCCTGACGTATGGAAAAAATGTATTGTAAAATTTTTAAAAAATTATTGTTTTACTAATTAATTTGTATAAGTCACTATCTATAATTGACATGAAAAAAAGGTTCTAAATAATAATAATAAAAACAAGGTATATAATACTCATTTATTATATAATATTTTTCAGTAAAATACATAATTTGGCAAGAATTTGTAAAGGAATAATTTTCTCATATCTATTTATGTATATATGTACAATAATGTTTTTTCTTGTATTGTCCGCTTCATGTGGCCCCTGTGAACTACATAGATATTTGTACTGCGATATTTGGAAACTAAAGTTGATGGATGTTATGAATTGAATAAACTTTTTTAATGGGTGAAGAATTTTATTTCATATATGTATATATTGTTTTTGACGAAATTGACGAAATCCAATAATTGAAATTGACGAAATCCAATATGTTAAAATTTCGAAAAATAAGAAAAGAAATATTGAAAAATCTGTTAAAAGAAGATTTAGGGACCCACTATGGGTAGTTTCTACGTGGACAAGACGTACTGTAAGAAATAATTTGGGCAGCACTGGCTTACACGATTACTGAATTAAGCATGTTTAAGTATGCACCCATCACGTCATGTGACGTGGAGAGATCATTCAGCACATATACCTAATACTATATTTCAACAAAATGGTCAGTTTTCAATTTGATCATTTAAAGAAGTACGTCATTCTGTATTGCAACCAATTTGATAAGGCTAGTGTAATGGAAGTTGAATAAAACTGTTATTTTTGTAGAAATAAATATTTCGCTATTTTTTTTCATCGTTTTTTAAATGTAACTTAACGATGTACTTCATGAGTGACCCTTTTCTTATAGTAAAACAATGTTTAATTATGAAAGTATTTTATACTCCATATTTTTGATTTTTTCGTCCATATTTTTGATTTTTTTCGTCCATATTTTTGATTTTTTCGTCCATATTTTACATTTTTTCAATACATATTTATCCGGGCCCTAATTATCACTAACAATACATAATATGCACCAACGTAATGTAGGTACCATTTTATTCAGTTTATTAGTTACATAGTAGTAATAGTTGTAAAGCATGAAAGTATATGTATGTATATCTTTTAGATTAACTCGCTGGAACCGTTTTTTTAATAATCAAATTTGGTCGAAATTAATGCATTATTACCAATTATTTGTTAGAGTTGTATCAACATATGTTGATCTTTATCCAAATAAATGTGTTGTTGGTTAAAAGTTGTGAACAAAATTGTCTTTGACATCACTTAATTTCAACATGTGAGGTCTGTGGGCGATGGTTACTACTGCCCATCTAGTAGACGGTCAGCTTGTTTGCCAACTTTAACATAACACCAGTCATACACCAACTGTGTACTATTAATGTATGAATTCAGTGTTGTTACTAAATTCAATATGAATCATTGTGAATTCAGATTAAATAAGCAGAATGATAATGTATGTTAAATTCACATCTTGTCTGTCCGTGATTACGGTTTCTGTAAAGGAACCGAAACGTCGGGAGTATGTAGTTTTTACAATAACACGCGTAGTATACTTAATCAACAACATATTTGTATCATTTAAATATATACTCGCGAAAGTCTTAAATATATCAAATCCATGTTAATGTAAATAGATAAACCTGGTTTCGGTACATATAAAATTGTATTTAAAATATCAATCCCTACTAATATTATAAATGCGAAAGTAACTCTGTCTGTCTGTCTGTCTGTCTGTCTGCTACGCTTTCACGCCTAAACCACTGAACTGATTTTAATGAAATTCGGTACAGAGATAGAGTTGACCTTGAGAAAGAACATAGGATAGTTTTTATCCCAGAATTTTGAAAGGTTCTCTTGGAAACGCGATATAACCGAACTCCACGCGGCGAAGCTGCGGGCGGAAAGCTAGTACTAATATATAATTAGTATTTTAAAAGCAATTTTAAAAAAAAAGTATTTAAACGCAATCTTTCAGAATGTAAAAGATCTCTATAAAAATGATTATAAAAAGAATATTGACTTTAGCAAAAGGATCTTAAGTATATACAAAATAATTCTATATAATTTTCTTTATATACTCATTTTCCTTATACACAATTTGCCATGTATATTGTATACCATTATCCTTATATTCTCATTTCCCTAATATATCAATTTAACTTATATACTGAGATGCATACTAGATTACCTAATATACAACATCCTCGTAGGCAAAAGAATGTTCGGTGTTTTGCCTATTCGGCGGCTTTTATTATATTCGGCCGAGTCCGAATATGTTCACCGAATACTTAATAATACAAATTAAAATAATCGACTCATTAAGTATATATGTACTTTTATAGTGACTTATTAGGTACCGTTTTTTACATTAAATATTCACCCTGATACCCTTTCCGACCGCAGATCGCCCGTAAATTATTTTTCCTTTCATTTTTATATTCCCCTCCTTTTCTAATGGATTTCATTGTACTATTTTTTTTTCACTTTTTATTATTTTTACCCTGTTCTAATCAGTTGGTACATTCAAATAAAACTAATATTTTCAGGTTACTCCCTACGTTTCCATTACATACTTTGAAGTAACCGTGATAACGGACAGACGGTATCTTTTTAAAAATAATAAAATAAGCATAATATTAATCTCAAAATATTAGTTTCATTTAAATTAACACTCACGAAAGTCTTGAATCTCATTTATAGTCAATATATATTTTTTTGTTTGGTGACACAAGCGTTGCTACCGACAATACTAAAACCATTTATAATTTTATAGAACAATTAATGTTTATTAATTCAACAGTTCCTTGTATTTGTCAGAAACAATTACACTGCTTATATTATTTGTATGATCTTTTCTTTCCTACACTGATACATAAGTTTTTAACGTCTAATTGGTTTCCCACACTTAATATTTATGTACCTAGTTGCATTTTACTACAATAAGAAAAACACGGATTTTGCATATTGCTCTGTTTTAATAAGAACGAGGTGGCCGTCGATAAAGAAAAAGGGGTTTTAGCTAACATTGAATAAGATATTAAGATTAAAAATTTTCCAACAAAATGAAGTTTATGGACCCAAAATCTTGCCTCGTATACGAGGAATATTTATTTATCTTTTTCCGGCCGTTGCAAAAAGAGCCCCAGAATTAAGCTCTGCTTTTCTCAAGCCACTTCGAAGTTTAGATTAATAAAGATAATGTAAGTATATTTATAAAGAAAGAAATTTTGTCTGATATTTCAAAACACGAGACGTGCTCATGTTTTTCGTAACGTTGAGGAATAGTGAGACCGAAAAAGCATTTGTTGATTAGACTACTCCCGTCTCCTTTTACTACCAAATTATGAAATTACCAGTTGCTCATTCAAAAACTTACGTTAACACTATTAAATGTGGAGATTTACTGACAAAAAAAAATTAAAACTGAGCTGAAAAGCTCTAAACTGTAAAACCGAGGAAGAATTTTGAAACCCTTAAAATCCTTCTGCAAACTTTAGGTACACACATACCTTAGTAAATTTCATATAATGACTTAAACACTAACATATCTACATATATTCATGGAAATGGAGCTTTTAAATGAAAATAGAAAAATATACATTATTTTACCTTAAACAATATTTACATTTTAATATTAGTCTATTTTACTCGCAATTATTTAATGGTACGTAATCAAGTTTATAAAGATAACGAGATCAATTTAAGTACTTTTAATAATTACCTGATTTGTTTTAGTACTAGAATGTTAAATACTTTGATTTTAAGAAGTTTAATAATATAATAAGAAAATTCACTTTGTAAGAATTGTAAACGAACTATGGACTCGAAAATCTATTTAAATAAAATAATAAATGTATATTCCTGTTATGTTATGTTTACTTCCATAAACATGTTTTGAATTTAATAATAAATGTTTATTATTAAATTCAATACAAATTGGGAAATATTAAAAGAAGAAAATTATTTTACGAAATTCCGAGGGATTGTTTTATGCTCGATAAATTTTCCTAAAAATAATAGGTATCTTTTTACATAAAGGATATCCGTATTTCAATTGCGTTACGTATAATCTTAAAGCACAATTATTAATAGCTTTGTATACGGAAAAAACGTGCATTTACTTGCTTATTGTCTTAAGTTACAGAATTAGTACATAATTTTAATAAGTGTTTGAGTATTAATTTATAATTAAAAATTGTCCGACCCTTTTCTTCCGGATTTTGACAAAAATTGTGTGATAGTTGACTTCAAGTGTTAAAACAAGATTGATTTTGAAAATATAGTTTTCAGAAAAGCGGAATACATTGAATGGTTTTTTATTATTCTATAGGGGGTAGTACTTAAATTAGTTTCGTCGGTCTCTGTGTCTCGAAATTTCATCGGCAAGGCTTTGTTTAAAATATCATACTAATTAAAAATCGTTACAATGATAGATCTTTTTATGCCATTTCGTTCTTTTCTAAAGTTTGAAAATGTATGTACTGATAATAACGTGTTTCGAATGCATTACAAGTTGTCTGTGATAATTCTCCTTGTGTTTACGTTATTGGTAACTTCGAAACAATTCTTTGGTGAACCGATTCATTGTATGGGTGACACTGATAAAGGTCCTGGCAAGGATGCTATCAATAGTTATTGTTGGATATATGGGACTTATACATTGAAGAGTCGATTGGTCGGTAAGTTCTTAGAAATTTTGATCACTTACTTCGAATGTCATAAAAAACGTTACAATACTACTTAACCCATATCGGCTTCCTTATTTTATGTAAACCTAAATATGTTGTTTATAGGCAGAGAAGGAAAAAACATGGCTTACGCAGGCATCGGACCTAGCGACATAGAAGATGATGACGAAATGAGGCACACTTACTACCAATGGGTTTGTTTCGTCTTGCTAGGACAGGCTGCTTTATTCTACACTCCTCGGTACCTTTGGAAGATATGGGAAGGAGGCAGATTGAAGGCATTAGTAACTGATTTAGGTTGGTTGAAGATTATTCACAACTTACATCATAATATTACTGTTATTGACATACTAATTATATAATAACTAATTTGTAACATGTGCAGCTAATCCAATGATCACAAAAGACTGGTCGGAGTATAGACGAGGAGATCTGGTTGCCTATATGAGTTATACAAATCTATACACTCACAATATGTACGCTTTACATTTTGCTTTCTGTGAACTCCTCAATTTAGTTAATGTGGTAAGGGATATTATATAAAAGATTATTTAAGAATTTAATCTATTTGAAATGTTGATTACTTTAATATTTTTACAGATTGGTCAAATATTCTTACTAGATTTATTCTTGGGTGGAACATTCCGGAACTATGGAGCAGCGGTTGCTTCATTCACACAGCTGCCTCAACTGCCGGAGAACTTCAGGAATTATACATCAGTTAATCCAATGGACAAATATTTCCCGAAGCTAACTAAATGCTGGCTTAGAAACTACGGGCCGTCTGGTTCGATGCAATTAAAAGACTATCTATGCGTTTTGCCTCTTAATATTGTAAATGAAAAGATTTTTGTTGTCTTATGGTTTTGGTTGATATTCCTCGCTTTAGTTTCCACGGTGGCTGTACTTTTCCGAATCGTTGTGTTCTGTCTGCCACCCCTTCGAACATTCATGATAATGGGCCAGATTAGATATGTTAAAAAACAGGTCATATCAAAAGTTGTAAAAAGATTCAGTTTTGGCGACTGGTTCATACTTTACTTGCTGGGCAAGAACATGAACCCTATTATCTACAAGGATTTAATTATCGAGTTATCCAAGGAGTTTGATAATAAGGCTGTTATGATTTGAATTTGATTAATATTTCTTTGTTTATAATCTTTTTTTTATCTATCGAATGTTTTGTTTTTCTTTTAATTCATCTTTTATTTCTTTATAGAAATAATTATCTACTTAAGTAGAGTTATCCCATATTTTGTTGTTAAAAATTAAAAAGTTTTCCATAATCAGTTTTTAAGAGTAAGCTTGTTATAAGAATACATTGTTCTGATTACACTTAAGTAAATAAAAAATGTAAAATGATTTTGTTATAAGGTGTTTTATTTATCCATCATTATTCATACTTGTAACATTTGACAGTATAATATAAAATTTTACAGATTCCCCATAAACTCTTATGAATTAAAAATGAATTATTAGAAAAGATCTTTCAAGTAAGAAAATGTATGACATTCTCATGTATGAATGTATATTGTACAAAGATAGGTTAAAGTCTAAAATGGAATTTTGTACCAAGTAGAAACTGCTCTATAGCAATTTAAAGTACCTTTGTTGTCTTCCACACAATTTTGGAAATGGATATGTAAATAAAAATGTAACATTTCAAGTCTCTAATAGCATAGCATAACAACATAAAAGTTTATTTTAAATAAATTCCTAATGTCACTACACAGTTGTGTACAAAAATTTAAAGTAGTAGTTCAAGCCCCAAGGATATTTTAAACAAGCAATTTCAATAAGAATCTGTAATTTTAAATACATCTGTATGTATAGTCCACATTTTTATTGTCAATACATATGAAACATTCTCTTTTTTTCAGGTTATATTCAGTGTTTATATGAAAATGTTTGGATGAAAAACTGTAAATGCTATGTAGGTCCACAATGCCAAATTACACTAGCATAATATTCTTAGAAAGAGGCAATTATTATATCAATGAGTCTATTGTAGTGTGTATATTTCTGTAAAACCTCATACCGCAGTAAATTCTAAGATTTACCAATTATTATTAACTTTAAATGTTCAAAAAGGGTACATTAATTGAAGAAAATAATATGAACTACTCATTGTTTTATTCATAAAACCAATTTCTACCAGCTGACAGCATTAAAACCTAGTATATACTAAATTTGAATGGCAAAAGACTATTTTTTTTTTACAGAAATACATGTATTTACCAACACGTATCGGTAAATCCTAACACTTAAATCTTAAATTTGAGCTTTTACAGTAACATACACATCATCTTAAAGTACTTATACACATATGTACAAATACTATCCTGAACATCCTCGGCAGCCACAATGCACACACTCAACGATCCTACCTTCCTCGAGCTTACTCTTAGGCACTCTGCATATACAGTTTGTGGCAAAATTAGTATCCCTAGTCTGTATACATCTCAGACAGCATAGATTTTCATAACCAGTCTTCTTCCATTTTGCTATTAGGTTTGCGTCTGCAATTTTTTCATTTAAACAATATTGATATAATTCTCTACTGATAGCTTTTCGTCGGTAAAACAAGTCGTATATGTAGCGTGACTTCTGGTGATGGATTTTGAAGATCGGCCAAAGTGATTCCTGTTTTCTTTTTCCTTCATGTGGTTCCGTTTCAGCTGTAATGAAAATTTACACTGTTATAAAAACTGGCTAACAAGCAATACATCTCCTATATTTGTTACTGGATCATGAATAAAGTGGCAAACAAATTTGAATTGAAGTATGTATTAAGCTATTTGGTAGCTTTAGTGAAGTGGTTTGATGTCTCATTAAATTATATATGCAGGCACCTAATGATAGGCTCCAAATACATATCACAAGAATTTGCAATTCCTATAAATTATATTATAATAACAATACATAAATATATATTCTTAACGTAAATAATAACGTGTATATCAATACCTTCTCTCATTTTCTGTTCTAATTCCTCAAGGGTCGGTTCGATTAATTCCCAGCCATCTGGTGGAGGTTTACGACTGCGGCGAACTTTAGGCATTGTTTAGAAGAGAAAGTCACAAGATTTAAAACAAATTTACTCTTAAATGAAAAATAATAACAGTTATAGTAGCGGGCTAGCGTAACCAAACAATGTCCACATTAAACTTGTCAAGTTGTCACAGATTAAATTGACAGTTATCAAATGACACTTGACATCACAATTTGTAGCTTTATTACAGAATATAAATAATGAATCAATAGTAATTAGCCAGAAACAATTTAAAATTATGTTAATAAAAGCCAAAATAAAATAAAAAACTATACGATATCCTATAATTTTAATTAAAATGATACTAGTGAACAACAAGATAATAGTAGTTCACATTTAATAAAAAATAGTTAACTTTTGATTGGTAAAAGCAGTGATAATTTAACTCCTTATATCTGAAATTTTTACCAATTTCTTACCTTAATTAGTCTTGTTTCCCTTATTCTACATATCTCAGGGGTTAGCCGTACAGGCCATTATGACATCAAAAAGAAGAGAAAATATGCTGTCCTTCAAGAAGCCATTTGAGGTTTCCTTGAGTTATAGAATTATTATTAGAATACTTAGTACTTCAAAAATGTGAGCTAACATTTTCAAATATGTTCAAAACAAGTTAAAAATGTTGTGAGAGTAGGGCTAAAAGCCAAGATTTAGATATTTGTATATATGGATTAAAGATTTATAATATGTAATTTTTGTAATAATTTCATCAATATAAATCCTGAAGTCCTACCTACATTTTATAATAGGAATACGAAAACATTTTTATTCAGTTCTTAATATTTATCAATTTTATTCTCTAAATAACCATTTATCTCATCAATAAGGTTCTAATTCTCCGGATAGGTTTGTAGTATTGAATTGCATGAATTGAGGATTTTTTTGATTTGTTTTAAGTGGCGGGAAGATTTTGACATTTGATTTTAGATATTTTTTAAATATTCGCCTTAATTTTTTAAGGAAATAATTAATAATACATGTAAAGTAGCAGTGCCTTGTATTTATAAGGCACTATACCAAGATATCAGTACAAAGGGCTATGGAAAGGCATCGTATCACCTTCGTTGTCGTTACTCATTTTTTAAATATTCGTGTTATTTATTAAACGGCAATATTTGAAAATCCCGCATTTTGAATAGTTCCTTGTACGATTATTTATTATATATAATTCTATCTCACAATCTACTTGAGACTAGCTGTTACCCGTGACTAAGTCTGCGAAAAAAAAAACAAAAAGCAATGAAAAACTCGCCCCGCCTCCAAACTGTGCGTCATAACACAATCTCAGGTTCGGGTTTCGAGATTGGGATAAAAAGTAACCCAAATTACCTCTTATTACATCAGCTACCTGCCAATAAAAGTCCTGTCCAAATTGGCTCTGCCGTTTTAGAAATAAATGGACAGACAGACAAAAATTAAAAAAAAAAATTGTTTTGCTGTATGTAAGTACTATGTATTTATATGCATGAAGTAAAAACGGTAATTTCACTATAACGAACATATACTTAAATTTTATTTATATAAGTATGTATTGGTCTGAAATACTCTTGAAAAATCCCGTTTATTACAAAGGAGAAACGTAAATCAATAAGTATCACATTCATATGAAAAAGTTGGCTTTTATGTTACAATGAAGAAATTGCCTTTAATATCAGTTTTCAGGCAGTTCAATAATTAAATTTAAAAATCCAATGTTTTGCATTGCTCAATGATAATATCTAACTTTAACTTTGTATCTAATTTTCATTACGAAAGACTTTATTGTTAAACAATATTTCCATTCCTTATGACACCAAGTTTTGATACCAATAGAATGACAAAAGTATAGGGATTTTGATACAAGAATAAAATATTGTGGCTTCATGTTATTTATGTATGAAATTCATGCAGTTTGAGACGTATATCAATATCCCACTTATTCAACATTATATTCTATTCATTTCTTTGAATTATTGGTGATTCCTTATAAATTTCGAGAATGTCTAATCCAACATGATGTATATGAGACCAAATTAAAAACTAACCATTAAACGTAAAACAAAAACTGTCAAAGTTTAAAAATTAAAATGGCTCTCATCGTCTTTTAAAGTTTTATAAAACAGAGATTTTGTAATTAAGATTCTTTTTTTCTTGTTTCTGGCAATTCCCAGCGTTACCCATAGTCTGCCAAGATTTTCTAATTATGATTGATATGTAGTAATTATTACATAAAAATAGTTTCGTTACACATTGCTTGTTGTCTATTAAATAATCGATAAGATTGATAAAGTTACTGTTATCCAGGCATGTCTAATATTAAGTAAGAATAGATTAAAGACATAGACTAGCTAGAGTAAAAGACATATTCAGAGGTTGATGGTTATTGAGATTTTGATCTGAAATGCATATCGCTTAACAGAGGCTTTGCATCAAACTACATGCAGATTAGACATTTAAAAATTTTCATTCATATATTTCGCAAGATATATTTTCATCATTATTGAATGTATTTGAAATTGAATTTGTCGAGCTGTGGAGATCGTAATGACCTTGTGGTTAAAGGTGCACCTCTCATGCATGAGGGCGCAGGTTCGAAACCTCACAGGTGCCAATGTGATTCTTCCGAATCACATGTACTTTCTAAGAGTGTCTACTTAGACACTTCTGATAGGCGGTGAAGGAAAACATCGTGAGGAAACCTGGACTTATAATTTCAAATTATAATTTTGAAATCACTAACCCGTCTTGAGCGAGCGTGGTGATTAATGCTCAAACCTTCAGGGCGTCATGCATTCAATCGACCCACTAATACCTCCACGACAACGACGTCCTAAGCCGAGGTCCGGCCTCCTAGAGGCACCCTTGGGACGGGCGTATCCCTGGTCGGGCCCTTCGGGCCCGAATTAATCGGGTCGGTCCCATCAGGACCACCCACCCCTCTCGGTGACGCTGTCAAAGCCACTAGGGCTAACAGCATATGTCAATTCGAAACAAAAAAAAAAAATCAAACCTTCTCCATGTGTGAAGAGGCCGTTGCTCAGCAGTGGGCTGATAGGCTGATGATGAAGTAATTGAATGGACCTTACCTTACCTTACCTGCAATATAATTTATTACAGTAGTGACTATTACATGGCTACATCCTTTATAAAAAAATCTAGGAAGTAATTAAATTTTTACGTTTTTCTTAAAAAGCACGTAGATTTTGTGATGCGGGAATTCGAAAAAAGAGGCAACATTTTCACGTACCTACTAGTGAAAAATCGAAGGCAATGTAAGAAAATGCGGGTGACTTAATATTATTGTTTCGACGTGCGATTTATTCACCAACTTTTATGTTTAATTATAAGAAAGGCTTCTTGGTAGTGATTAGAAGTTCAATCAATGTATATTAAATAGACTCTCTTTAGCTAAGTACTGTGACCTAATTTTGGCTCACAAATTAACTAAACGTAACCGATATTTAATTAGTTATTAATGAAAATAATTCTCATTATAAAAACTCCTTTGTAGACATATAAGAATACGACCTCCTTCGTCTCAATCGATTAGCGAATATTAAATCTATATTTTTCAATGACCGTCATAACATTTTACCCGTGTTATGTGTATGAATAACGGGGCTACCTACCTATAGCGTTCGTATCATCCATCCCTGTCTGACAAAAACGGTCTTTTAAAGTTAGAGCGAGATGGAAATAGTAACATTACAACTATCGGAATGCGGTGCGTTAGCGCAAACTCAACACAAGTCACAACCAGTCTTCCATTCGTCCGCGACTGAGTCGTTTGTATTTCGAACGGCGTTTACGAAAATATGTGTGAAATTTGTTACAACAGTGTATATTGATAAATGTTTTGTGACGTGTTTAAAGTTATTGTTATGAAGTGTAGCTGATTGTGCTAGGAACGCCGCGTCGTTATACCTGTAAGTCATTTAGCGTACGTGTCGCTGACGTTTACATTTAAATCCTGGAAGTCCTTGTCAGACTGTACCTTCTATAATACATCGGAGGCACTGAATACGACTATATATATTATATTATTGAGCAACCCTTTATTTTCATAACAAACTTTAGATATTTCCAATTCGTTGATGATTATATTATTTAATTATTACGGTTTTTTATTATAGACGTTCATTGTAAATATTCAAATAAACTCTGTCCGCTTTTGAACACTGAGGAGTTTATACATTTATATAAACCTACCTACAAATCTTATTTATGTAAGTTCGCAATACATTCAAATGAAGGTGTTGTTAAAATTACAATTAATATAGGTACAAGTATTGCGTTTTAATTGGACTTAAAAACTTTTTATACATATAATATTTTGTTTATAAAGGCGTCGAATATTTCGCGCCTTACAATACAGCCAATGTGTTTTTATAACATGCAAAAAGGTTTCATTTTTAAGTTGTATGAGCGAAACATTTTTAAATTAATTTGTTGTCTAAACAGATGACGTGATTCAGTGTATTCAATTCCAAATAATTTAATTAATGATCCATTGCTAAATCAAAATAATTAAATGAAATATCGAAGCCATTAGAAACTAAGTTTCGTCATGGCTTCGTATTATAATAAACTGTTCTAAAAAAATTATTACGCGGTCTGAATTGCTTATTATATAATAATTATTAAAAAGTTTCTTTTGCGAGTTACACTTTGAGATTATATGATTCTAATTTCGATAGTTTTAAGTCAGCTAGCAATATTATACATTTAGGGACCCATCTAATATATTAAGAAAAATAGCCCATTAAATAGGTTGACTGCAATAATTAACAGTTTTTAACGATTATTACTTATGTATAACTTAATTTATAAATTACAAACCTTTTCAACAATTTAACATAAAAAATAATCCGATAATTAAACATTAGGATGCGTGCATTTGAAATGGATTAAGTCTATACTACAATAAAATGTAACGATTGCTAAAAAACGTCTACAGACTTTAGAAGGTGAGCTGAGAATTAATTATAATTCTATAATCATCAATAATAATTATTCACAATCAAACAACG